TTGCTTCACAACCAGATCGTACAGGACCTGCTTGCCTGGTCCAGCAGGATCAGCCGAGTATCCCAGCAGAAGATACTTGGGCTCCCTCCAAGCCAGGGACAGATGCCAGGTGTATTTGCTTTTTAGCAGGATGCTTTTCCAAGACTCTGATTGATATTTTTTTTTATTATTATTATTATTTTTTCTTTCTGATGGCCTCACATTGGAGGCTGCAAGAGCCTGGACACAGAAAGTAACACTAGGTGGACCCAAGCATTGCAGAGAAACCCTTATCCCATCCTCATGAAGCAGCACTGGGATTCCCAAGCTGTGACACCAACCAAGACTTGAAACAAAAGCAAAGAAGTTGCTTAGGGGATCCAAATAAAAACTTTAAATACTACCATACCTGCAGCCTGGGTTGTTTTATTCAGTTTGAGTCATGAACTCCTTAAATCCCACCCTACCTCCTGCTGCTTTGACTGCAGCTCAAGGGAAAGCTGAGTTCTCCTCCCAGCTCCTGCTGCACATCCTGTTCGTGCCAGCACCTGCAGGACACTGCAGTCAAAGGCACAGCAGAGGGAGCAGCGACCTGCTGGGAACTCCCAGGTAACTCCAGCCTTGGATTCTGTGCCATTTGGGATGGGTTTTAAGTGTTTATCCCACCACTGTTTCCTTCAGCGCTTTCTGGCTTCACCCCTGGAGCTGAATCCCACAAGAGCAGCTCTGGGGATCCCATTTCAGGATCAGCATTTCAGGCTGCCCTCAGCAGACCCTCAGGCTGGTTTGAGGTACCAGGTTTGCTTTCAGGAATCAAAGAAATTGAGTTTAGAGGCCAAGGGAGCCTGCAATTTGAGCAGGTTTTGAGACTTTTGAGGTGAGTTTAGCAGCTTTTTGGTGCCTTTTGAGCTCACAAAGGCACAAAGAAATATTAAACTGAACCACATCAGCTCACCCAGGTGAAAGGGAGCACATCAAGACCTCCTTTAAGAGTCAAATATTTTAAGGTTGCCCCCACCTGAGAAGCTCATCCAAATAGGAGAGAGAAGACCATGAAATTCACAGAACAGCTCCAGGAAAAGGCACAACAGTCCCTTTAGCACAAGGGGGTTAGAGGCAGCTGCACAAGGAGCACCCCCAGAAATCTGAAGCTTTAAGACAAAGGCAATATTGTGCTGCTCCTTGCTCATGCTCCCAGCCAGAAGGTGAGAGTCATCTCCCACAAAAGAACAAATCAGCTATATTTGATTAAAATGCACAAAACCACTCATTCCTTTGTCTCCCTCCTGCACAATCTTTTTTTTCCCTAGCAAGGAAAGGAGCCCAGTGAGGGCCAGAGCTGGTGCTCAACCAAGAGCTGCTGGGAAGGTCAGGCTCCTTCAGCTGCAGATTGCACCCAGATGGTGATTTCCTCCTGGCAGTGGCAGGAGCTGGGGAAGGCAGCCAGTCTCCAGCAGGCTCTGCCAGAGCTGGAGGCAGAAACTCCCTGGCCAAAGCCATGCCAACATGCAGATCTTATTAGGCCAGACTCTGCAGCCAACTCGTGCTACCCCCGGCTAGAGCGGGGAGATGAGAGCAGGACCGAGAGCTCAGACATCCCCACTGTGGTCACTGCACAGGCTTTGCCCTGAGCACAGCCCCTTCCCATACCCTGAAACAGGATTCATTTATTTGTAAAGATCTCCCACCTCCAGGAGGTGTTTAAGGAGACAAAAAAGGAGTAACTCCCACCTGACTGTCGCCTCCCTGGAAAGGAGCCACAGAATGGAACTGCAGCTTGGAGAGGATTGTGGAATCATGGAATGGTTTGGGTTGGAAAGGATCTTAAAGCCCATCCAGTGCCACCCCTGCCACGAGCAGGACACCTCCCACTGTCCCAGGTGGCCCCAAGCTTCAATGTCCAGCCTGGCCTTGGGCACTCCCAGGGATCCAGGAGCAGCCACAGCTTCTCTGGGCACCCTGTGCCAGGGCCTGCCCACCCTCACAGGGAACAATTCCTGCCCAATATCCCCACCCTCTAGCTGTGGAAGCCATTCCCTGTGTCCTGTCCCTCCAGCCCTTGTCCCCATTCCCTCTCCAGCTCTCCTGGAGCTCCTTTAAGCCCTGCAAGGGGCTCTGAGCTCTCCCTGGATTTTTCCCTTCTCCAGGTGAACATTCCCAGCTCTCCCAGCCTGGCTCCAGAGCAGAGGGGCTCCAACCCTCAGAGCAGCTCCGTGGCCTCCTCTGGAGTTGCTCCAGCAGCTCCAAGTCCTTCTCTGATGCTGGGGGAGAGAGGAGCAGCAGCACATGGGCTTGGTTGCTCTTACAGCCACAGTCTGTCCTCCTGAGCACAGCCAGTCCATCCCAGGGCAAATTTCAAACCCGAGTTTGAAGCAACAATGATTGTGGTCAATTTTGGTGTAAAGGAAAAAGTTATTTCCTAGGGAGTGTGGGATTGAAATCCATCTCCCAAGCAGCAGCTTGAGTTCTGCTCTATCCCTTCAGTGCCTGGGTGTCAGTGTTCCCTCCTGTAGCAATTGGAAATCTCTCCATGGAGCTTGTCAGAGAACATCCCCATTCCATGGCTGGTTAACAGCAGGATTGGGGTCCCTGTGTCACACAGGGGCTGTCACACACGTGCCAGGACCCTGCAGGAGAGCCCAGGCTCCATCTCCCTGCTGCCAGAGACCCAACACAGGACACAGCAAACACTGGTAGAGTGTGGAATATCCTGAGGTGGAAAGGACCTACAGGATCATCCAATCCAGCTCCTGCCCTGCCCAGAAATCCCAACAATCCCAGCCTGTACCTGAGATACCAACCTCTCCTGGAGTTCTGGCAGCCTTGGGGCTGTGCCCATTCCCTGGGGAGCCTGGGCAGAGCCCCACCAACCTCTGGATAAGGAATCTTTCCCTCATTTCCAACCTAAACCTCCCCTGACCCAGCTCCAGCCATTCCCTCTGGTCCTGTCACTGTCACAGAGCAGAGATCAGAGCTGCCCCTCCTCTCCAGCACAGAGGGATTGCTGAGGCTCGGCCGTGCCACTGCACCCACTGAGGAAGAGAGGACATTCAGCAGAAGATGGTTTTCCACTGCTCTGGTTTCTTTGTGGGGAAAATCTTGGGAAAATCCTACCCTTAAAATGATGTTACAGCTACACAAAGAGTCCTGCTGCCTAATGAGTATGTCTCGGGCAGAGATAAACACAATAGATTTGCACAGAGCCACAGCTGAATAGCTGACTTCAGCCTTAGTTTAGCCTCAGAGCATTAAGAGATTGTTGATTCCAGTAGAGAACAAACTTGCCAACCTTTTTTTCTTTCCTTTTTTTTTTGTGCAAGAGCACAATTTAAAGGAAAAAACCCTCAGTCACTCCAGGCACTGCCAACCCCAGCCCCTCTCGGGCAGTCAGCAGCGACTCAATGTGAATATTTTCACTGCTGCTGGAGGCAACGTGCTGGTGATAAGGAATTCAGCATGGTGTTTATTTATTTTCAGAACTCTAATGGATTTAGTAATAAATTCTCCTCCTTGCCCAAGACTCAGCTGAACATGTTCTGAAGCCCAAAGCACAGAGCAGCAGATCCAGATGATGTCATGTAACAACGCAATAAAGAATTACACAACGGAAAGCAGCAGATAAAAAACAGGGACAATCAGCAGCTTCTCAAGATGTAATGAGGAATAGCCTTAAATCTCAGCTATGCAGAGTCTCTTGACTAATTCATCCAGCTAAATCACACATATCCACAGGCATAAATATTTACCTGAGACCTTCATGACGAGGAAGAGGAGGGCACCAGGCAGCAGTGCAGCTTCACACCTGGCAAAAACACGTGGGAAGCAACAGAGACAAAAACAAGCCTAATGAAGACCATTTTCCAGGCAAAAAAAAATCAGATTTTAACTGACTCAGCAGCAGGTTCATGAGGACCTGCAGCACAGAGAAGTTGTGAGCAACTGGAACAGCTTCCAGACAAGCTAAAACTCCAATTTAAAGGCATTTTTTTACTCTGAAATGAGTAAACCAACAACTAATGAAAAACCAATGCAACAGCACAACCCAACAGAGGGACTGAGTTACTCTCCCTACTGCCACATCAACCAAAACCAAGCTCTTTTTAATGCTAATAGCCCAGCACATGTTCTTCAAATTAATTTGGATCAGCAGCATTCCCCTCACCTGGAGAAGGGGATAAATAAAGCCCTCGATTCCTTTAGGAAGCAGCCTGGTCTTTATATCATCTTTATAATGATATTTTTGCATTAAATGCCACAGAATATTGCTGCCAGCAGGGATTTAGTGACTCCCACTGAACAGTGACGAAGGAAAGAGTCTGAAAGCAGAGGGGTTTTTCCTCCAGCCAAACACCTCCCTTTTCCTTGAGAGGGAAGAAAGAATAACCAGCTGGACAAACCATCCCTGAGGTAGAGTATTTCCAGCCAAAAGGGACCTACAGTGATCATCTAGTCCAGCTGAGAGATTAGATCTGCTTTCTGCAACCCTTTCTGGACAGGAAAAAAATGTCCCAGAGTTGATCTGGAGGTTTGAAACTTCCTTCTCAGTCTTTACAAGGCAGAAAGGGAAACTTCTAAGCATTTGATACCTAAAGTAAGAAGCCTGAAATCACTTGCAAGTTTACAAAGAAAACCATTCCATGAAAAAATTCCAAGTAGATCACGAGTTTTTGCCATGTTTTAATGGCATGAGGCAGAGGAACAGGTAAAGACCAGTGCAAGGTAATTTTGACTCACTAGCAGGGAAGTTTTCCAACATTAAGCCAGTTAAACACCAGTCTGGTCATCATCTCCTAGGAGATTAGTCTTCCTGCACAAACCAGAAAACCCCAAAGGTTGTCATGTATAAAACAAGGGGAGATTTGATGAGTTTTATTCCTTTTTAATAGAGAAGAGCTGGAAGAAAAACAAGTGATTCTTATCTCTGAATTCAGTGTTTCACTATCAGTCCTGTGCCAGAATATAAAATTATTTCCTTGCTACAGGAAAGAGCTCTACGTGCAAAGAGATGCAAGACTCCACAATATTTATATTGTATTTATTTTGTAGACAGCCCACCCATACTCCCCTTTCCTCATTCTTCACCTGAGGCTGCAGAACTATAAGAAATATCTTTTAGTCCTGTTGCTGCCTCTTACCCCAGTGAGCAGAAACAACTTTCACACACCAAAATGACCAAACCCAACCATTATTTGCCACTTTGAGAGCTGCAGTTCAGAGCTGTCCACCACGACAGATTTGTGTCTGCCAGGCTGCAGCTCCTGTTCCTGCAGAATCCAGCTGGAATTACAACTCCTGTAATTCCAGCTCCCTGTCCTCCTCTTCCAGGCTGTATTTTGGGGTGTCCTGGCTGAAGAGAATGAGCAGACTTCAAAGAGCCACCTACAACAGTGCTGGCACCTTCTCATCCATTCAGATGCTTCTCTCACAGACAGGCTGGCTCCTGGCTGGAAATCCTGAGAAAACAGGTAGAAATGACTGAAATTAAAGCAGAGAGTAACTTGAGAGTAATTTCCTTCTCTGGGGAGCTCCTGCATGCCCTGCCCTTTCACCAGCCTCAAGTCCCAGGATGTGGCAAGAGATTACACCCAAGGACAGAACAAAACACGTCAGGAGCACAATTCCTTTATCACAACATTCTGTCCTTCATTTTTTGGGGGATAGTCCACAGCCCCAAGACTTCAACCAGTTTGAAATATCCCCAAGGATGGGTTTGTGGAAGGAGCCTCTGTGTAATTGCTGAGCTTTCAGCACCACAACCACCAAAACAAGGGGTTTTCTGAGAAAGGGAACAGAAGCAGTGCATTCCCTTGTGCTGGTGTAGCACCCACCACAGAGCAGCTCTGAATGAAACCAAACTTTCTTGGTAGTCCAAGGTCTTTGTTGCCCCCCCCATGAAGAAAATATGTATGAAAGATAATGAATTTCAAACCCTCTGCAGACCTCCAGTGTCTGAGAAATTCCAGCAGACTGATATGAAGAGAGGCAGCAAGATTCAGCTCAGACTGGCCTGCAATTCCTGTTCCCACAGGAGAACGTGTTTACACCCTGATAAGCTAGGCAGCAGTTTGATTTCGGAAATGTTTTAGTTCCAGAGTGAGAAACAACTCCTCTCTTTGCAGCATTTGCTTCCCCCAAGACAGCACCAGCCTCAGATGATTTTGTCTCTGAGCACTGAAGCCTTCTGGGAACCAGATAAGCAGCCAAAATTAGGGTCAGAGTTGATGTTATTCCACCAAGTAATGCACGATGCTGTTCAGAGGAGGATCCTTAAGTGATGGAGCTTACTGTCACTCCACACAGCTCTAAGATTTGAGAAGGAGAGGTCCAATGATGCCTTTTCCAGAGCAACCAAACTGACCTTCAGTCCCTTCCCAGGGACAAAACACACTGATCCACCTTTCCAAAAACTCCTACAGATATCAAGGAACCGTGGTTTGGGTTAGAGGGGATGGTAAAGCTCATCCAGCTCCAGACCCTGCCAAGGGCAGGGACACCTCCCACCATCCCAGGCTGCTCCAAGTCCCATCCAACCTAGCCTGGAACTCCTGATATTTTTGTCTTTATACACAAACATGCCAGGCCCTCATTCAGCAGCTAAAACATTCTTCCCTAATAAAACATAAAAACATTCAGGTGAGAAGCTGCATTCACAGCTACTTCATCTCCTTGTCCACACAGATCACTTCAGGCTGGTTGAAGATCCCTCCTGTCCCAGCTCATGGGGGACACAAACTCCAACCCTTCAGCCCCTTCTCTGCCCATCTCACGAGGCACCCCCTGAACTGTTGCCACAAACAGGGGAGCAAACAAAGGCAGCATTTGAAAGAAGCAAATTAGGAAGGCTGCTGCCCTGGCACGTTGTTGTTTTCAGCCTGGAGACACAAAGCAGACACTCTCAAAGCTTTTTAATAGAGAGTTTTCCTGCCATTACAAGTATTTATTGATTATAGACTGAAACACCACAGCAGTTCATTGCCAGCCACCTTCTGGCTCCAGGACTCCCCTCCAGCTTAGGCAGGATGTTTTCATGTTTGCTACACCTGAACTCTCACAGCCAGAATGTTCCCTGCACTCTAAAACGATGCTACAAACACCACAAAGTACCAAATGTTTATTGTGGTCATATTGGGTGAGTGATACAAATCCCCCCAGGACTTCTCTCACCACCCTGGGATCGAGGATTGGGATGGGCATATTCCATCCTGCTCCACACTGAGAAATTAGGTGCTCGTGGTAGTTTCAGCAAGAAATCCTCACTGAGGGTTTGAGCTGAGTTTGTGACCCAGCTTTGTGTGATTTCACCACAAGCAGCTCTCCCCAGACATCACATCCCTGGTTTCTTTTCCCTCAGCAGGAGGAAGGAGAAAGGGAATTCTGTCCTATCAGAGACAGGCTGGTTCTGTCCCAATACCAAAACCAATCCAGGCACAGCCTGGGAGAGTTCCAGAAGTGTTTGGACAACACTCTCAGGCACAGGGTGGTATTCTTGGGCCAGGAGTTAGATTTTGATGATCTTTATGGGCCCCCTTCCATAAATTCTACCCCAAGCAAGGTGAGATCTGTCAGGTCTAGAGAAATCCAAAGTCTTATCCCTTCTTGCCCAGGAAAAATCTTGCAGCTCAGGAAAGCCTGGCTCAATTTGTGGCTGATTCCAGCCCATATCCAGCTCATCCCTGCCTGGATCTGGTGTGGGTTGGGACACCAGGCTGCAGCCAGCCTCACTCATTAAAAAGGTTGAAACAGCTGAGTGGCAGTGTCCCCATCACACAGAACAGCCCGAGGTGCTGACAGCACCATCCTGGCTGGATTCAAGGTCATTATCTGCCTTTCTGAAAGACTGAAAGGTTCACCTGGCACATTTCCTCTGTCATGAGGAAACCAACAAGAAATAGAAGCTGTGAGGGAAGAGTTGAGCAAGCCCTGTGAAAACCATAAGGACCAGGATGCAGACAGCTAAAGGCTCAGCCCCTCTCCTTGCAACATCCACCCAGGGTGAGTGTTCCTGGCCACAATTCCCAAACAAACATCCCATTAAGGTTTTGGTTCCGCAGAGAAAGCAAAAGCCTGGAGCGGCGCTGCTGCCAGCCTTTGAACACAGTGGGAGTTACTGGTGATGGGTAGGGAGGGGGGAAAAGGGCATCTCAAGAGCCTAAAAAACAGCTCCTTCCACTGATCTATAAATCTGCTCCAGCCCAGAACCCTGGATTGAATAAAAAACTACCAATAAATATCCATTAAAGAGTTTTTGCGGCTTCTCAGCCTATGGAGAGGCTTCCTCAGGTGTCCTCCAAATCTGGATTCCAAGGATCTCTACAGCACATGTGCCCCTCACAGGAGGGCTCTCTCATCCTCTGAGGTCATTTCAGCATCTCCAAAAACCCTGCAGCAGGGAGACCTACAGCTCTGCATTGTGTCATTAGAACAGTTACCTTTTGTTAGACTTTTAAGCAAAAAAAAAAATCTCCATAATATTTCTTTTTTCCCCCCATCTTTGACCACACTCTTCAATCTCCTCCCTTGTGACCCTGGAGATTTTCATTATTTCGTGATTTGTCTGGGTAAGGCAGAAACTTCTCCCTGCCCTCCCAGTAACCAAGAGAACCCTAAATCAAAGGGAGATCAGATCATACAGAGCCCTTCAGATCTCCAGCAGCACAAACAGGATCAGCTGTGGTCTGGAGCAACACAACCTTCACAGGCTATTTCAGGGAGGTTAAGCAAATTTGGCTCCACAACACAAGTTAATGCCCCTCTCCTCCCTGTAAATCATGCCCCAGTCACGACACTGGAGCACAGATTAAAGAAGACAGGGCTGATTAGCACCATAAAACTCAAAAGAGGTTAAATAATTATCCAGTCATTATCCCAACAGAATACTTGTGGCTAACAAACACACACACACACAAAAAAAAAATTCCCAAAGTTTGGTGCTTGATGAAGCAACAGCACCTCTGCTCCAAAGAGAGGTGATTTGCAGTGATTTCAACCATCTGGAAGAGTTTTTTTTCAGGAGGCACAAAGCAGAGCAGCCCAGAAGAACAGAACAGGGAGCTCTGGGGGAAGCAGCTGAGGGGCTTTGAAGCAGGTGAAGGCTTCCCTGTCAGAGAGAGAGATAATTCCATATAATTCCATATGATTCCAATAAATTATCCCTGAGAACAGGCTGATGTGGGGTGGGATCAGGGCAGGAGAAGCAAAAATCCTCTCCAAGCTGTACAATTCCTACACTTTCCAGCCAGGACTTCCACATGCCCTGAGCACACAGCGCCTTCATGGCAGCATTTCCCTTCCCAGTATGGGATGGGAGTCCTGGGAATGGGATGGGGACACCACAGCTGGGGTGACCAGGCAGCCCCAAGATCCAAGAGACCCCCAAGGCTGCCAGAGCCCCCCTCTTAACAATGTCACAATCCTGGAACACGGTTTGTTGGCACAGGAAGAGCAAAACCTCCTTTACCTGCATCCCTCAGAGCTGGAAGCTCTCCGTAAGTTCAAAACCAGCAATTTTTGGGTGGGTTCCAAGTATTTTTCATGAACAGCTCCCATCCAGTCTGAACTTCTGAGGGCTGGGGACCCCAGGCATGGCCAGGTTGGGCTTCTGCCTGTGTACCAGGAGCATGGAGGGTGCTGCAGGACCAGTGAGCTCTGGAGCTATCCAGAGTATCCCAAAATCCCTCCAGCTCCTCCTTCAGCCACCCTGGAGCTCTGCAGGACAGAAACTTCAGCCCCAGCTGTGCTCCCCACCCCACAGCCTGCATCTGACCCACAGGGCACTCAGCACTCTGACAAAATAGAGAATGAGGTGTATCCCCATCACCAATTGTGACTTTTCAAGGCACCAAGAGCCAGCCCACACTGGGACAAACCCTCCATCTGCTCCATGGGCTCTCTCATCCCACAGGAAAGCAGAAAAGGACAAGCTGAGCTGATTTCCCGTGGCAATCCTTGTCTCCTGCCATCACCAGCTCCCCTGGGAGAGCCTGACCACAGCCATGGGACACTTTATCCTAATCCAGAAATGGGTTTTTCCTTCTCCACCACAGCAGCCCGAGGCTGGACTGATCTACAGGAGTTGCACAGTGCTGTGGGGCACAAATCCTCCAAAAATATCCAGGAAAGCTCCACCATCCCTGTGCAGGAAGGTCCCCAGCGTCTGGAAGGAGCTCCAAGGGGAACTCAGCATCTTCCTGTTTGTGCTGGGGACATCCCTGCACTTCATCCCAGCCTGTGGCAATTCCCCACATCCCAGGACATCCCCTGGGCCGTGTGTGGGAACAAAGCTACAAGGGCACCTGGGAGCACCCTAAAAACAGCTCATCCTTCCAGCATCTCCTGAGGAGACACCCCAGGGCTTCCCCCAGCTCCTGAGCACCGAAGGAAAAAGGGTTGGAGGAGATTAAGACAAAGATAAAGCCAAGTTCAAGAGGGGAATAGAACAGCAGGAGGAAAAGTTACTTCTCTCCACCCCCAGCAATGCATCTGGATGATTCTTCCTCCTCTTCCCAATGGCTTGTGGCTCCTTCCTTGCTTGGATAAACCCAAAACCCCCAATCCCATTTCCTTTTTGCCCACTGACAGGGCACAGGGGCTATCCCCTGCCAGGAACATCAGGAAAGAAACCCACAGCTGAGAACAGCAAATTCCCATTAATCTTCCTGACTCATGGGGATGGAGGGGGAAGAAGAATAATAAAAATAAAAAGAAGTTAAGAAGCATGCACAAGAAATGCTGTGTATTTCTTATTTCAAGAACAACTTCAATGTCTAACTTCAAGAAATTGCTGTGTATTTCTTACACAAGCAAATACAAGAAAAACTTGCATTTTTATCACAAAGCAAGTTTGTCTATAAGGCAGATCTCAGTTAAGGGTGTCAGTTTGGAGTGTCACAATATTCCCAACACAAACACATTCTGCTCACATGTAATTCTTGGGTATAATCAAGTAGCTGGCAGGGGGAGCAGGCAGCAGGTCCTCAGAGCCTGCTCTCGAGGCTTTAGGTGAGCCCCAAATAAATCCATCTGCTGCTTTTAAACATGGACATTACAGAATCATGGAATTAATTTGGTTTTAAGTGACCTTAGAGACCATCCAGTGCCACCCAGTGACACCTTCCACCAGCCCAGGTTGCTCCAAGCCCCATCCAACCTGGCCTTGGACACTTCCAGGGATTCAGGGGCAGCCACAGCTTCTCTGGGCACCCTGTGCCAGGGCCTCACCACCCTCACAGTCAATAATTATCTTTCAAATTCCTGCTCTAAAGTTGTTCTCCTGCAGAAAGACTCTCTATCCATAATAAACTTCAAGGTGCCTAAAAAACCAATCTGGGTAATTTTTCCCCAAGTGTTTCCCAGATCCAAAGAAATCTAAGCAGGCACAGACAGAGTGAAGCACTCTGCAGAAAATCTCTGCAGCTAATCCATCTTGAGTTAAAAATCGCTCTCCACATTTCCCCCAATTTCTGCAGCCTTTAGCCCCAGATCCCAGCACTGAGCTGGCCTTGGAGGAGGTATTTGGGCTTGTGGTGGGGCTGACCCTGACTGGGAGCCAAAGCAGATCTGTCACTGCCCTCCCCAGCTGGACAAGGCTGAGAAAACACAACAAAAGGCTCAAGGTCGAGACCAGGGCAGGCAGAGATCCCTCACTGGTTAAATCAAGGGAAAACCAGACTCAGTTCAGGGCAGTTTGTTTTATTTATTGCAAATCAAATCAGAGCAGGGCAAGAAGTAAACCCAAACCTTAGAAACACCTTGTCCACACCACTCCCTTATTCCTGAGCTCAGCTGGGTCCACCTTGGAGCCAGCTGGCATTGGTTCCATGGGCAAAATTCCAGCAGCTTCTCATGGGAAGCCACCCCTGTAGCCCTCAGCTATCCCAACCCCACCACCCAGTCCCAGTGCAGGTCTTTGCCTCTTCTCCTGAAGAGTGAGGGTCTGGTCTGGTCAGCACCAGCCCTGGGGACAGCCTCACACCTCTGGAAGGGTCCTCACCCACCTGGCCCTGGCATTTCACTTCTCCAGATGGAGCCAGATAAAGCACCTGGGTATTTTCCCTTGGTGTGGTCCTCCAAGGGAAACCAGAAGGCTCTTGGGCGACACAAGAGTGGGTTTTTGTAGTGGTAGGAGCCAACACTCAGCCTGCTTCAGTCCCTCACTTTATCAGTGACAATGTCTCTTGTCCTGTGGCCCTGGGCACGAGGGACCCCCAGGCAGAGCTGGAATGAGACACAGGGAGCCTGGGCAGGTGGGACCACTGGAACCCCCTGCTCAGAGTGCAGAGGCCTGGAGAGCCTTGCTAACACCCCATTCCCTAATAACTGAACCTCAGGAGCAGACTTAATTCCTCATTTTGGAAGCATTACCTCAGACACGAGTGACCAGAGCAATGATTTTACCTCCACACTCCTAAACTCAGCCTTATGGAGGGCTTAGAGAGACCACCAGGGAGTCACAGAGGTTGTTTTAGGCAAACAGAAGAGCAGGTAGACATCAATATTATCATTTTAAGGGTAGTCATGGACCTGCACCTGCGTGCTCCAGTTTGTGCAGAAATCAACAAGACACCAGAGGCATTAAACGTGTTTTTCCTTCCCATCCACTCTCATTGGTAGTAAAAGCAGATGTGTAAATAGTTCAGTCTATCATGCAGCACTGTTTGTTTTCTGAGGTTTTCAGGGTGTGTGTTGACTTTTTTTAATCCCCTGCTCTGGCCTGAGAGAGGATCAGGACACGTGGAACACACAGGATCCCCCTGGGACCCTCAGGCAGAGCTGGCCTGTGAGGGGATGGAGTCCTGAGGAACCCCAAAATGCAGGGCCACTGGTGCCCATCAGCAGCAAACACAGGGCACAGAGGTGGCCTGAGGGGACAAGGGGCAGGGACCCTGGGCACATTTCACATCCCCCTGCCCACTCCATGCTGGCACACAGACCCTTCCTCAGGGGTGACCCAAAGCCAGGACAGTGACCAAGGTCATTTCAGGAGGTGGCTGCCCTTCAGTGCCCCTTGCAGCAAGGTCAAAATCATCAAATTCAAACATCTTGAATCGGTCAGAACGGCCTTTGCTACATCAAAGAGACCCCCGGGGAGGGATAAGAGTTTCCCTTCAGGGAGGGGCACTCTGTGAAACCACTGAGAAAGCCACCAATTAGCAAATGGGTTTAATGGTGCACTGAAGGCACCGGTTCTGCTCAGCCAGGCTGGGTTTGTGCTGCAAACTTAACTCTTCCACACAAAGGAGGGAGCCCCAGGAGGGGCACGGCCTCCTTCGGGGAGGTCACGGCACAAGAAAGGCAGCCCCAGCAGGACACACAGCACAGCAGGGCCTGCTTTGTCCTGCACCGTGGGACTCCTGTTCCACACAGCTCGAGTTTGACTGGGCTGTAGGGTTCTGCTTTTCCTCCTGAAAGAACTTTCTGGAGCCCCGACATCTCCCGGCGCGAGCACCTCCGCGTTTCTGGAGGCAGAGGGATTGTACAGCCACGAGAGGAGCGACCTCGACCTCCACCAGGCCAACAAAACAACATCCAGAGCAGGTACACAGAATCATTCACTTTGGAAAAGACCTCCCAGACCAAAGTGCAACCTTTGACCGTGCGGTTCACGCGGTTTTGCTCCTCTAGGCCTCGCCCTGGCATCTTTTGTTTCTCAGCAAAGCCTCCTGTGAGGTGACACACACATGGTTTATGCCCTTGAGGCCTCCCCAGCCTCACACAGTATTGTCACAACCCCCTTCTCGTGCCACCAAACCCCCAGCCAGGATTGCTGGGCTAAAAGCCCTCTGAAGCAGTCCTGAACTCCTGAGATTGCTTCCACACACCCCCAGTTATAAAAGTCTGTCAGGTGTGAAACTGGACTTTCAGCCAGAAAGAGCTGCCTGAGCCCAAATTTAAAAAAAACTCAGATCTGCTATAAATTGCCAAGATGTGACACAAGGGAGAGAGTCCACAGGGATTAAAACAGTGCCTCAGAATGAGATGAATTTTTTTCTCCAGTTGTAACACGGGGTGTTATCCCAGGGGTTCATTTTAGATTTATAATAGGCAGAAATTACTCACAGGGGAGCATTCTTAGAGGGGGATTGCAGACACAGACCTGACTTGCAATCCAGCATGGTTTTTGCAGTGCTTTAAACTTCAGAAGCTTTAATTTCAGAGTTGTTTTGCATTTTAGCTCCAAGTTCATTTGGTTGGAAAGAAGCACCAGGGCCAGAGAAGATGGAAGGAATGTTTGAGGCCAGAACATCCAAGGGCATTAATTAATTAACTGAAGACCCATCAAGATGTGGCAACCACAGGCACCTTATCCCTGTTAAACCCATGAAGGGGATGCCCTGCTATGGAAAATGCATAATTTTTTTTAATCCCTCTGGGACTGGTGACTCCAACACTGTCCTGGACAAGCCTTTCAGTGAGGAAATTTTCCTTAATATCCAACCTGAACCTCCCCTAGCACAACTTGAGGCCATTTCCTCTCATCCTGTCCTTTGTTCCCTGGGAGAAGAGCCTGACCCCCACCTGGCTCCATGCTCCTGTCAGAAATCCATGTGTTTTTTCCAAGAGGAAAAGCTCCAAATGGGACATTCCCCCAATGGCATTGAAGTGGAGCAGGCTGGTTTTAGTCAGAAGATTGTTGCTGCAAAGGCTCAGCTCCCCACAGGGAATTTCAGAGGACTGAAAGGTTATTTTCAGTAGTGGAGACATGGCCTTACCCTGAGGAGCTCCTTCAGTAAAATGAAATTTTAAGTGCTCAGATGATACCAATGTGGCTGTATCAAAGCAATGCCTGGTAACATAAGCAGGTATTAAATTGTTGTGGTCATTTAACCCAAGCCTTACTAATACCCCATTCCCTAATAACTGAACCTCAGGAGCAGACTTAATTCCTGATTTTGGAAGCATTACCTCAGACACGAGTGACCAGAACAATGATTTTATCTCCACACTCCTAAACCCAACCTTATGGAGGGCTTGGAGAGATCACCAGGAAGTCACAGAGGTTGTTTTAGGCATACAGAAGAACAGGTAGACATCAATATTTTCATTTTTAAGGGTAGTCATGGACCTGCACCTGAGTGCTCCAGTTTGTGCAGAAATCAACAAGACACCAGAGGCATTAAACGTGTTTTTCCTTCCCATCCACTCTCATTGGTGGTAAAAGTAGACTTGTAAATAGTTCAGTCTATCATGCAGCACTGTTTATTTTCTAAGAGGTTTTCAGGCAAAACAGGGTGGGTGTTCACTTTTTTTAATCCCCTGCTCTGCTTTTGCTAACACTTGGATGGAGAAGACTGTTTATATTTATCCATAGTAGGACAACACACACACACACACACCCCCCAAGAGAAAAACTCCACCACAGATTAACTTTGAACCTGTCAGTGCCAAATTGGCTCTTGATGCAGCTAAAAATCACATGTATATAGAATTTTTTATCTGAAATCATGTTGCAGATGTATTTGAAGCTGTCCAGCCTTGTGTCACCTCAGGAGGAGCTGCTGGGTGACTCATACGAGGTTGCTCCTTCTCACACTGTGGAGGTAAAATAAAAACCAATAATCTTGGGTTTTAGTCACTCAAGAAGCAGCTCGTGCTTCAAAATCCCCCCAAACCCCTCAGAAGTGAAAAGCAAGGCAAAACCCTCAGTGCTGCTCTCCAAGAGTCCTTTTTCAAGATTCCCCTCAGTTCTTTCTCACCAACCTTGTGAGTACAAGCAAAAGCTGCAATTACATAGGAGTTGAGCAGTCAGAGGCCCTGGGGGGGTCACAGGGGGTGTTCAGGCAGAGCTGGGCTTCTATATTGAATATTTAAGCTCAGAGCTCATTAAATAAGCATCAGCCCCACCCCACATCAGCCCACAGTCACTGGAGCCTTTCTGACAGCTGCTCTCCAAATTCACATTTCATGCTACAAGTGGTGGCCGAGCACACATCCAAGCAAATAAACTCACATTCTCCTCCAAGACACACAACTCTGCTGCCTCCCCGGATACAGATTTAAATATCAAACTGGCCTGTCCTTTCAGACTCCTCCAAAAACATGTCACTGGCACATTCCCTCATCTGCAGAGCTGGAGAGACCCAGCGACCCTGGCGAGCTCGTGACATCTGAACGCTCTCCAGCTCGTTTTTATCTGCCTATGAACTTGGAGTCAAGGTCAGGGCTGCACTCGCAGACCTTTTCTCCTCCAAGAACCTCTGCTCTGCTCCAGGCAGTGCCTGCATCACACCTTCCCCCATCCCTGACAGGAGGCAGCGCTCCAGCATCAACACATCAGGGTCCACCACGCTGCTCACGGAGCATGGCATGACAAGGCTGGAGGAGGCTCCAAGGAGAACTTACTGCAGCCTTCCAGGGCTGAGAGGGGCTCCAGGAGAGCTGGAGAGGGACTTGGGACAAGGGCCTGGAATGATAGGACAAGGAGGAGTAGCCTTATACTGAAGGGGGAAGGTTTAGATTGGATATTAGGAAGAAATTGTTCCCTGTGAGGATGGTGAGGTCCTGGCACAGGACCACAGCTGTGGCTGCCCCTGGAACACTGGAAGTGTCCAAGGCCAGGTTGGATGGGGCTTGGAGCAACCTGGGACAGTGGGAGGTGAGACTGGATGATTTTTAAAGACCTTTCCAACCCAAACCAGTCCAGGATTCTGTGATAAGATTGAGGGATTTGGTTTCTTGCTGCTCCATGCACAGACTGATGGGTTTGCAGAGCCCTCACCTATTGCCTTTTTTTCAGGTGAAAGCAATTTTTCTAATTATTTCTAAGCAATTGGGTTTTCCTAAGAGCCTCAGCTTTCAACTGCTCTGTTTTCAGGGGCAGGTATTCCTGACAAACATTATCCCAGCTCCTAAAGCAGCTGGATTACATCAGGGACATCAAAATTAAAAAGCCTCTCAGGTGAGACGTTTGTATAGCCAGGAGAAGACACCATAAAGAGATGCCTGTATATTAAAAAAAAAAAAAAAATCTAGATAAATAAACAATCCACCCCTTACAAGGTGGAAACTAGAGAGGGACAAAGGATCTTTTAGAGAGAAAAATATGGGAAATTTGTGGCCCACAGGGCACCTTGGAAGAGCTGAACAGGAGGGTTGGGGGGCATTTGGTGATGCAGAGTGCAGCAGGTTAAGATTAAACCACACCAAGCTCAGGTTGAAAGTCAGCTCCACTCTGCAGAGGCAGATTTTTATCTCTGCAGGGAAGTGACAACTTACTGATGTGTCTGTCAGCATGAAAAGAGCTGAAATCCTACTTTCAGCTAATAGCAACTGGAGGAAAAAGCAGAGGGACTCAGAGGACTAAAGAACCTCCACAAAAATCAGCCATGGGAATGAGGAGCACTCGAGATGGGTAAAGTAATCACACCAGGAATTAATGATGAACCTGGTTCTCAGCTTGGTAGAGCAACTGAAAAATCCAGTGTTTTCAAAGAGGGAGAGGGATTAACTAGGCTAACAAGTCATCAGTATCAGCTGAGGAGAGGGGGTAAAGTCATGGCAGTGAAGGCAAAACAAACACAAGATGTGCAATCACAGAATTAATGCTCAGACTTTCTTTCCTTCAGGAGAAAGGAGCTGTCACCCACAAATGCACAGTGCTGAGGATGGAATTTAAGGAAATCTCTTTTCCCCTCTCTACCAAAGCAGGTTTGCTTAAAAAAAAACAACACACCCTCACCCTTTTTGCTTATTTAAAACCAACTTGAGCAAGACTGATATCACCCTCACAGAACTTGTATCTATCTTTGTATTTTGCTAATTCTGGCTACAAACTCTGATCTGCTGGGGAAGGATCCACACATCCCCTTCTTTACAAAACATCTCTCAGCCTCTGGTACACCATGTACTATTTAATATACCCACAGAGATGAGTGAGGCAAAAGCTCCAGCTGAAAAATTACTCAAGGAACGGTGATGTTAATAGAAACCTGCCTGGGGGAATTAGTGCTCATCATCCCAACCTTCCTGTGCCTGCCTGGATTGGTCTCCTTCCTGGATATCTGTGTCACACTTGGGCTGCATAACCCCCTGCCAGACCTCCATCTTGTACTATTTTAGGTAATAAATGACTCAAATACCAAAAAACATCACATTCTTTTTTTATTTTTTTTTTTCTGCCAGTAGCCAGAAGTCTTATTTCCTAATAGTAACAGCAGGTTTTAATGCACACTTAGTGCTTTTAAGATATAAAGTGTTATTTAAGTGTCATCATAAAGTACTCATGTTAAAAAGCCAGTTTAAAAAAAAAAAATCAAAGATAATTCAGCAGGGAAAATAATTTAAGGTTTTCATAAAGGAAGAGCCTCACTTCCAAATGCTTTTCCAGCAGAGGTTCCTTCTCTGGGCTGTTTTCATCCCCTGATCATCAAGATGGGAGTCACACATACATTTAAATAAGATATAGTGGAGCACTACTATGGCTTATCAGAGCTCTTCAGTGAGCCTAGATATCTTCATTACCAGAAACAAACCAAAAAACACCTTAAATTGTCAGAAACAAATATTTATTGCTTCAGTTACCCTCAATCGGGTTCACTGTTTCTCTGCTCTGCATGAACAAAATGATTAAATAAAAATCAGCAACTGAATTCTGTTGTTGCTGACAGAAATTCAGTGCTCAAAATTTCTCTGAAAGCTGTGATTTAAAGGTAATTCTTTCACTGTCTAGTCAGATGAAGGCCAGGCCACTTTTTAGGAACTGAAGAGCATTTTCAGTGAATAAGAACTGGTCTCCTGTCCTTCACGTGGAATCTGTAAGGGAAATACTCAACTCTTCCAGCACAGAAGTTGAAGCCTTTCTAGGTTTTTAGTGATAACAGCAAAAAAAAAAAATTAAAAAAAACTGGAAAACCAACCAGCTTCAAGAGCACAGGATGTCCTGTCAGCCTTTGAAAGTCAGAGTAGATTAAAAAAAATAAATTATAAATAAATCTGACCAACCCTCATCAGATATCACCAGCCTCTAATGACAAATGGAAATTCTGTGGCTTTGAGGAAATAGCATTTTCTTATCTTTTGTCCTGCTGGCTCCTCCATCCCACAGCAGCCCCTTGAGAGATGGCCATGATGAAATCCAAACCAAAGATTGGGGTTTGTTTGGATTTTTTTTTTTAGAAATTCCAGTCCCAAAGCCATGAGGGATACCTGGAGCAGCCATGACATGGATGTGCTCATTTCTGTCTGTTCTTGGTGCCTTTCCAAACTCACTCTGGAAGCTCTGCAGAGGAAATTTCATTCAGCAGGGATTCAGGGGGCAACCAAAACTTGGGACTCGGGGGGGCAACCAAAACTTGGGATGCAGGGGGTGCCAAAGTAGTGGAAGTGGCTGCTCCAGCCTGAACCTGTGTCACACCTGAGCCAGACACGGGGTCCTCCAGCTTCAGGGCTATTTTATTAGAGTGACTGAGCAGAACTGGTGATTTTTTTTCTTATTAATGCCATTTCTGGTTACCATGGAGCTCTGCTGGGAGTTCAGAGCTGCTCACCCACGCCAGACACCGAGGAACATTATTACAGGCAAGGCCCTTCAAGGACTTTTCAGGAAGATAATTCAGCCCACCCAAGATGCCAATTTAAAGTTTCCAGCAATCAGTGTAGCTTAAATTTGAAGTGACCGCTCGTGGGTTGGGAAGAGGGGGAGGAAGCTGGTGGTCAGCTGGGTTCATCTCAAACTTGGCACCCACATTCATCCCAGGCTGAATATTAAACACTCAGCTGCTTTTTAAGGCTCAAAGAATGAGGAATTTGAACTGTAGAGGAAGGTAAAATAGTTAATGGTGCCCTGTGGAGGGCCAGGAGTGTGACTGGATGATCCTTGTGGGGCCCTTCCAACTCAGAATGTTCTGTGATCAGCCAGAATAATTCAGGAAAAGTTATCCAGAGGTGCTGTCCAGAAAGGATTATTCACAGAGCAGCATCTCCTTGTGAAGAAACAGGAGGGCAGTAACCATGGCAGAGAAGAGAACCTGGGCAGGGTTCTCTCCTCATATTCCAATATCAGATGTGGCATTAAAAAGGCAGCAAGAGAAGAGGAACCCATGGTTGAGCATCATAATTATTATTTCTTCCTTCTTTCCCATCCAGGATGAAAGATGGTAAGGATCCTCCAGTGCTCATGGGGCTTTTGGACTGTAGAAACTAGATAAATTCTACAGCCCTTACACAAATCATGGCCAAACCAGTGAAAAAAAATGAGTCACAGAATGGCTTGGGTTGGAAGGGACCTTAAAGACTGTCGAGTTCCATCCCCCTGCCATGGGCAGGGACACCTCTCACCAGCCCAGGTTACCCCATCCAGTCTGGTCTTGAGCACTTCCAGGGATGGGGAGTCCACAACCCCTCAGGGCAACCTGTGCCAGGGCCTCATAGCAAAGAATTTCTCCTCATATCCAATCCAAACCTACTTTCCTTCATTTAAAGCCATTCCCCTTTATCCTGTCACTCCATGCCCTTGTAAAAGTCTCTCCCCTGCTCCCTTGGAGGCTGCTAACACCTTGTGGAACCCTTCAAAAACTATCAAAACCCACTGTGAAGCCTCAAGCAACAGACCATTACCTGAGCAGCCAGGCAGAAAAAAAAAAAATCCCATAACTCTGCATCTCTTTTTCTACTCCAAACCCCCAAAACTGGGAGAACACAGCCCTCTGCCAACAGGCTCATCCACACACAAGCACTTGTACTGGCTGTCCCAGAGCTCACACACCCCTGCCAGACTGGAAATCACCACTAACCTCTCACAGGAAACATCTCCATGGCGCTGGAGTGGGTCAGAGGGACACTCTGAGGCTGCTGGTGACAGAGAGGCCAAGGAGCAAGTCTTGAGAGCCCAGCCCCTGGTGCAGCATTGATAAAAACTCATTGAAAACACTGAGCTCAGCCAGCTCCAGCCTTCCACTTAAAGAACCACCAGATCAACACCAGGCTTATTCCTTACGATACAGACAGTAGGAGATGAAGTCTTTAAAAACTTGTTGAATCACACCCATTCTTAAAAATAAATCAACTATTAAGAGGCACTTTACTTTAGAGATACGTATTCCTCATTGTCCTAATTACAGAGCTGGCTGAGGGCAGCCCTTTGGAGACTGAGCTGGGGCTGCTGTTGTGCTGCTTCAGCAGGGTGGCGTGGCAGAGGAAGTTCCCCAGCAGACAATGTTCTCTCAGGCTCTGATTGTGGAGCTGAGGCAGGGCCACATGGCCCGTGACCCCTGAAAGGCACAGAATCGCTTCCATCCGTCCTTTGTGCTGTTGTGGTGGAGTCAAGAACAACTGGGATGTTTAAACAGGATTTTGTAGGGTCTGGGGAGGTCTGGAGCGTGGCGAGCCTGAATTCCATCCTTCACATCCTTATGGGAGCTCAGGGGGACTTGGATTGTTTTTTAAGACTATTTTTTAAGAGATAACCTTCCTTGCAAGAGGGCATCTCCAGGCAGGGTTATCAAGGCTGCCTGACTCTCCCCAGCTCTGCTTTCAGTTGGCTGTAAATTCATCAAGCCCTGGCTGTTCAGGGTAGGAGTTTGCATGCTAGGCTGGGTCTGCCTGGGGCACAGTTCTCTTGGAACATGTGAATCCAACTGCTTCTCAGAAAGCAGCATGGGAATAAACACATTGTTTTGTTCAATTTCTGGTGGCTTTTTCCATTTTTATTTTTTTTTCTTAAAGCCTTGGACCCATGATTTAGAACAAGGGCTTTAATGAGCAAGGGACAAGCTTTTTGTGTCAAATTTCATTTTTGTCATCGCCAAAAATCCAGGCAAATTATAAGCCTTTTGAGAGGAGGAGAAAAAGCAACTAAATTGCATATGCTCAACAGCCCTTAGAGTTCAGGATTTAAAACTCGAGGGTTTTGGCTTTGCTGAGGAAAATTGGAAGCAGGTATGGGGCAAGCAGGAGGTAATGAACAGGAGGCAGTGAAAAAGTCAAGGAAATGTACAACAGCAGGGCATACACCAGGAAAATTGGTTACTGGAGGAGATTCAAAACCCAGGTTTGAAGGCAACAGGACCAGAGCAGCAAGTTGGGAAGACAAAGGGACAACATCAAGACAAAGGTGCCAAGAAATCCTCTACTTGTTCCAGCATAAAGCACAAAATCATGGAATGGTTTGGGTTGGAAGGGACCTTAGAGATCATCTGTTTCCAACCCCCTGCCATCATCAGGGCCACTTTCCACTAAACCAGGTTTTTCTCAAGTCCCAACCAGGATGTGTGGATCCTCATTTCACCCTTTTTCTCCAGCAGTCACAAGAGCCATTTACCAAAGTCTATTCTGTGTGTCGTGTTCAGCTCTGGAAAAGCCCTTTGCAGTCAGAGGCTGGAGCTTTGCTGCCAGAGGTTGTTTTAAGGAGCAGGATCTGCCCAGCAGCCCTGCAAACACAAACCTGCTGCTGGGCAGCCCCAGCAGCAGAGGCATAGAGAAGCACTTTCCCAGTAGCAGGCAGGAATTAGCGAGTTTTTCTGATTTGGGGAGTGAAAGAACACCAGTCAGTGTTTAATTATTGCCCCATAAAACATTCAGCTTTAGTTCCATTCTTCTGGGCTCCCCAGCGCTGCTTTGGTGGCCTTCAACCATCTGGCACCAAGTTGGGTGTTGGGCCTTGTGCTTGAGGGAAAGGGATCCGAAACTGTGGCGTTTGTGAAGCCTTGCCCAACATTTGTCTAACCTTGGATCTGAGGATTATCCAGTTTTCCTTTATGCTTTAGGACAGGGATGGAAAAGCACGAGGTACAGGCAACAGAAGATGGTTCTGCCACCACAGGAATAAACTGCTCCAGAGATTTCCTGTTGGAATGAATCCAGAGGAGACCACAAACTTGATTTGAGGACTGGATCACCTCTGCTGTGAGGAAAAGCTGAGAGAAGTGGGATTGTCCAGCCTGGAGAAGAGAAGTCTTTGGGGGTGACCTAATTGTGGCCTTCCAGTTCCTGAAGGGGCTCCAAGAAAGGTGGAGAAAGACTATTTATAAGGGTCTGGAGTGACAGAAGAAGGGAGAATGGATTCCCATTGCCAGAGGGCAGGGTTAGATGGGATTTTGGAAAGAAATCCTTCCCTGTGAGGGTGGTGAGGCCCTGGCAG